TCATGCCGATGATATGCCAAAACAAAAAACGGAAAAGATATTATATTTGGTTGGAAATCGTGGGACAATTTCTTGATATACTAATTCAAGATGATCATATATAAATTCCATTTCGTCTAATAATCTCATATGATCGTCTCGAAACTCATTATAAAACCTTTCAAATAATTCAGAAATAGAATCATGCAGCTTATCCTGAAATTGGCTCCTATAAGATCTAATGACACGTGGACTTGCTTGAATAGATTTAAATTTGGTAGCGAGGTCTTGGTGACTATATCGTGCATGTTCTGCTGCTGTTGCTCTTTCATCCGCTCTTTCCTCCGTTTCGATAATTTTAACTACACGTACTATCACAGATCCTTGGCCTACCTTGACTAATTCAATCATGTTTTTTGTTAATGCCCAAAGATATTCAACAAATTCATTGGACAATTCATCTAACCTTTTGAAATATTGTTCTAATATGAGTATGACATCATCTTGTGATGTATTTTTTGCCTGATGCATAGTATTATCCCGAAATTCTTGGAGTCTGAAAAGCTGATAATGAATAAGCAGCAAATTCTCTGCAGGCCCCATTATATTTTGTTTATCTTGTTGTAACAGGTTTTGTATTTGATCAACTGTCGAATACATTTCTTGTAATTTTTGTGCAGTTTCTTGTGTAGCAACAAAATTGCGATGTATTTGAGAAATCTATGCAAAATAAACATCTTATGTCAGGACATATTGGATAATAAAGTATCTACCCTTTATAAATAAGTATTATGAAGTTATCTGTTGTCACCTTATTAATCCGTGGAAAATGCTGAATCATATCTTGTGCTTCTGAGCATAAGCGATCGATAGCTTGCATATTTTCTTTTATGATGAACATTTGTTTTCTAGAAGAAGTTAGCTTGTCAATACCTTCCTGGGTATTATCTAGTTGCGCTTTTACTCCAGATTTTAGTTGAGCATCAATGGTAGCTTTTTCTATCGCAAGCCTCTTACGTAAGAGACTGGTCTTTACTAAGTCATCAGGTGATCTGAGTAGCTCTGCAATACGCAAAACTGCAGCATCCACGGCGTCGGAGGACGACTCCATCGCTTTAGTAATCTTACTCATTTTATTTCTACTAGTATATAACCTGTCGCTTCGCTGACAGTCTAATTTTATAATTAAAAATGGGGAATTTACAAATAAGGGCCCCAAAACGACAAATAAGGACCCAAAATGAAAATAATTACAGATAGAGGCCTGATATTTGAAAATTATTACAGATAAGGGCCCAAA